AGTTCAAGAAGTGTTGAACTAGAAAACCCCTCTGAGTCATGTCTGCCAAACCCTAAACTATTCCTCTCTGGGCAACTGGTAACATATGAAGCAAGAGTCTACAACCTCAGAGAGAAATCCTGGAGAGATGGAAGAAATTTAAAAACTGGACAGGCCAGGCATAGTGGCTTATGCCTATACTCTTACCTTCTTGGAAACTGGAAAGAGAAAGATCACAGTCTAAAGACAATCCAGTCCAAATGGACGGCATAGGTAGAAACACTGAGGTCTTCGGCTGGCCCAGGGGTGAGACCCTATCTGAAAAACTAAAGTCAAAGTAATCGAGCTGGAGGGGTGGCTCAAGCAGAAGAGTATCTGAGTTCAACATCCCATGAGAGGTTAGAGAAAGAGTGGGGAGGGGGGAACAGGCAGGGGGGACGGGCTAGACAGAACTACATAAACAAACAACTATGCTCTAAGAACCAAAACTGTCCATCAACTCTGAAAGCAGCACCGAGACCATGTTGCAGGCTGATCAACATCTCCTGAGCCAACACACTACCCTCCCGATTCTAGTCCTCCTTCCTTTTAGTTATCACCAGGCCCACGAGGGCCATTTTCACTGGTTAGAAGGAAGAAAGAGGACAAGCTGCAGAATTACACACCACCAACCATCACCAGCCGCAACTGTGCCTTAGATGAAAACTTTAGGAGACAAACAAGACCATGTAGCAGTGGTGGAGGGGTGAAGGGGTCGCATTTCTAAATTGGGAAGTTTGAGATGCTAGGTTTCTTTTTTTCAAGGCTAAGGGGCCAGCGTACCCTTTCCTGTACAGTCTTCGTTCCTCTTTGTTCCTGGTCCATTCTCCTTTGTTTCCAGATGTAACCTCGTAGCTGACTAGTTCCTGGTCCATTCTCCTTTGTTTCCAGATGTAACCTCGTAGCTGACTAGGCCCCATCTGAGAGTAACTTCCTCCTCCTCTGCTCTTAATAATCATAATCATAATAGGAAAGAGTCCCTAGGGAGCTGTTGTCCAAGTATATAACACTTCATTTCTGCATTCTCTCATCTCCACTCCCACCCCGGAGTGCTATAGCATCTAGGGTGTTCTAACACAGAAGCTCACCTGTCTAAAGACAGCTTAGGAATATCACACCTGACATATCACAACCTCCTTCTGAAACTCCCCTCACAAACCACCTCAAAGACTGCAACTGAAGAGCTTTCAAGGGGCATCTCTCCCAGGTCATCTACAAGGCATATAAATAAACTCTCCCTTGTCAATTATCTGAAGTAGTAGAGAAAAACTGCACTTGGAAAAAGCACGTGACAAGTCCCCCCCACCCCCATCCTGCTCCCTGCACAGGCCCAGCGGGAGCCAGGGGACCAGAGGGCCTTTTTCAGGGCACCTGACAGAGTCTAATCTCCTTTCCCCTCAAGGCCCTTAGCTGGTTTCACTTTTCCCCTAAGTGTTGATTCCAAGCTGCTAAGTTATCTTGCAGAGATGCCAAACTGACCACTCCTCCATTTCCTTCAGTTAACACACACACACAGAGTTTGTCAAACATGGCCTAAGCCCAGGAGCAGAAAGCAATCTTAGCTGACCTTCAATTATTGCAAAGTTGAATCACTTTCTTGTCTGACAACTGTGACTAATTCCAAAAGGTCCAACAAATGGTCTTCTAGCGATGAGGACTAGGGTCAATTACCATTTGGGGGCAGATTAGAATCTGATCTGAAGCTGAAAAAATTCCCCCCTTTGGTGTTAATTCCTTGAACTTTTCGATCCTAAATAGGGCAGGTTTTGAAGCCAGTATTTCTCATTCCATAGCCCACCTGAACATCATCTTCAATGGATGGTGCATCATCAAATAATTAACTCTTGTTCTCAAGGTCTAAACACAGGAAGCAGAGGAAGGAGAGTTTTGGCCAGCTGCCCACTTTCTACTGTGGTAAATAAATGTTTAAAGCAAGACAAACAAGAGGCCAGCTTTCTCTAATAGCACAACGGACTCTGGCAAACTTGTTAAAAAAGAAAAAAAATGCGCACGCACTCATTTATAGAGTGAAATATAGCTTATATTACAGAGAATTAAGTTTTAAATAAAACGGTCAAGAATCTAGTATTTCTTCTGTTTTCTGATATTAACTTGTAAAGAGAACAAACGCTGGCATTAATGAAAATAGGCTTGGAATGGCTCTGCTGAGATTGCCCGTGGTTTTTGATGATCTTCAGTGGGATGCTGGAAAGAGCATTTCTGGGGAAAATCACCTGGCCCCATATCTGGTATGTTACCTACTCCTTCTCCCTCAGTTAGTCTTTAGATGCAAAGACATTTGATGTTGTAGTCCATGAAATGAATCGGTTCTTCTTAATATATGTAACTGCAAACTCAGAACCACAGGTATCCCATCTAGCTACAGAACAAATTCCTTAGGTTTTCTTTTTTGAAAATGAATCTGATCCAGTTACTGACATGAAAATCGCAGAAGACCTCACATGCAAATGCAAGTAGCCAGCTATTTCTAGAGCTGGATGATTAAGTTCTCCAGGCTGACATCTCGGCAGAGCAGCCACTGGTGGGGGCAGAGCTCACAGCTAGCCCACTTCACATGGTGACATTTCTTACCTGCTTCTCTGCTTCTTTCGTTCCTCCTGGGAGCCTGGATACAGGTTATTCTCTTAGAAACAGTGCCAGTGGTAGTTAATACTTGTGGAAGGAAGGAGGGAGAAAGGAACATATGCATACTATCATTTAAAAATGAAAAAAAAATTAAAATCCCACTCTCATTCCCTTGTATAAAATTCTTCAAGTTTCATAACAGAAAACATATGGCAGTTTGGTTTTGGGTTTTTTTTTTAAATACTGCTTTTGCAAAGTCAGCTATGGATTTTAATACATGAAAAGCTCTACTTGAAAACTGAGCATCAAAATATGATCTCTTTTGAGAAGATGATTAGCAAGACTGTGAGAATTCTGAGATTCTCACGGATAAAAGACATTACACCTTACTTCACATTAACAACAGAGTTATCAGTGAAGACAAAAAAACACCCCTATCCACTATTTTGTAACCATTCTACCATGCTTTGGCCCTAATCAATACTGACAAAAACAAATGGTACTTTCCATTTCTTGTTTCCCTAAAGGGTCACAGAGACAATTGAAATGCTTTGTCCATCCAAAAAGGTGGGAGGCAGGGAGAAAAACAAAGCAATACTGATGCAGATGTGTTCCATTTTAAGCTGCAAGCTGAGCCTCTCAAAGTCTGAGGCACTGATGCAATCTGATGTTTTGCAGGGAGGAAATGTCACTGCTGATTACCACCCCTATCATCTGCCACCCTCTGGCCCTTTCTAATCATGTTTACATGGCATTAAGAAGAAGGTATGGCCTGTGTGGTGGCTCACACTTGTAATCCCAAGATCTGAGGATCACAGTTTGAAACCAGCCCAGGCAGGAAAGTCTGTGAGACTTATTCCAATTAACCATGCAAAAACATCGGACATGATGCTATGGCTCAAGTGGTAGAGTGCTAGCCTTGAGCACAGAAAGGCTCAGGGACAGTGCTCAGGCCCTGACTTCAAGCCCCAGGACTGGCAAGAGAAATAACAAAATGCTGAAACAAGAATACAGGTTGATCCATTTCAACTATGTTGAAAACAAACTTTACAACTTTGGAGGGGGGAAGAGAAGTTGGGGAGATAGAGAGGGAAAGGATGGTAGGGGAAAAACAAAGGAAGGAGTAATAATACAGTCACTCATATAACCGTAACCCTTCTGTACAGTATCTTTACAATTTAAAAATATTTTTAAAAAAGGAAGAAAATATACCTGCTTTCTACTCAGCTGACAGGTAGAACCTGAAAGTAAGATCATCTGTTTTGTTTTGGTTTCTTTTTGTGCCAGTCCTGGTGCTTGAACTCAGGTCCTGGGCATGATCTCTGAGCTTCTTTTGCTCAAGGCTAGCACTCTGTCACTTGAGTTCCACTTCTGGCTTTTTTTGGTAGTTTATTGGAGATAATACTCTCAGGGACTTTCCTGCCCAAGCCTCCTGAGTAGCTAGGATTACATGTGTGAGCCACTGGTACCTGTGATTCAGAACCAAAACAGATTGGAAAACAAACCTGAAAGTATCCCCATACTTCAATGAGAACAAAAACCAAGAGTTAGAACCCAACTCAAAATAAGAGTTACCAAAGAAGAAAAAAAAGGTTTATCATACTGGAACTGGCCCCCATCAACCAAATGAGCTATTCTGCTACAAGTGTTTCTTCAACTCAGAAACATAAACTGAGGTAGGTTAGGTATTGGGAAAGAATACTGAAAGCGAATGACTAATTAATACATGAAGAAAGCCGAGGGCTGGTGGCTCACACCTGTAAGCCTAGGTACTCAGGAGGTTGAGATCTGAGGTTCACGGTTCAAAGCCAGCCTGGGCAGGAAAGTTTGTGAGACTCTTATCTCCAATAAACCACTCAGAAAACCAGAAGTGGCACTGTAGCTCAAGTGATAAAGAGCTAGTTTGAGCTGAAGAGCTGAGGGACAGTACCCAGACCCAGAGTTCAAGCCCCATGACCAACCACCAAAAAAAAAAAAAAAATGAAGAAATGCTCAACATCCCTGGCCATGAAAAGAAATGTAAATCAAAGCAACACTGGGATTTCATTCCAATCAAGAACACAACAACAAACACTGTTCAGAGATTGTAGAAAGAAAGGAATCCTGTTGATGGGTATGTAAGCTGATTAGCAAAATGATTATAATGTAATTATTATAATGTATATATACATTCCATACAACACTATGGAAATCAGTATGGAGGGTCTTCCAAAAAACTACATATGGATATTCCACAGGACTCACCAATACTACTGTTGGGCATCTGATATTGCTCATATATCAACATTATCAATTAGTTAACAAACCACAAAACATTAAAAAAAGTTACTAAGTCATTTCTTTAAAAGGAAACATAAGGGAGGGAATGAGGAAAAGGAACCAACACACATGAATTTTGGTGTAGCAGATACCAATTTATTGGACACAGTGCAGGACTCAAAGCATCTGAGACTCCATACAAGGTTTCCTACTTCTCTATTACAAAATACTGGGAACCCTGAATACAGCTGACTCAAAGTCCTGGCTCCCTTTCTCCCGTACCTAGACTGAGCAATTTCCCGGTGGTGTACACATTTCACATTCACCCAAGGCTTTGGAGAGAAGGGGACTTTCCACCCACCCCTCTGAGCCAAAGGCACTTAGAATTAGAAGATAAAGCACAGCAGGGTCACCCCACAGACCATCTTGGCCAGATTGTTGAGCCATGCATACCATCACTGGCACACATGGGAGTACTGTAACAATCTGAAAGACACTGATTTCCTTGGGGGGGAAAGTAAAAGTGCAGTTTGAATCTAAAGGGCTCGCCCCTAGCCTTTTCTGAAAATATTATGTGAAACTCTTACTTTACATGATTAGTATCACCCAAGGCTTACACTATAACAAGACAACAACAAAAGGCTAAAAAATAATCTGTCATATATTCTCACAATACATCTGCAGGGAACATCAGAGCTCATGTTGTCTCTCCACGTACCCAGTAGACGAGGGAATGAATGGAGGCCGAGGCAGGGGAAGTGCAGGATTCTCAGGCAGAGCCTGGGCAGAACGCAGCCTTCCTGAGCCTCTTGAGAGGCCCTGCTCTCCCCCTTCTTCTTTAAAAGGCTCTTGAAAGTAAGACACAGCAATTAAGGATGTACCCCAAAAAAGCACGTGCACTAACACAGGTCAGAGATTTGGTCTCGCAAGACAGTTGCTTTGGCCACCAGGCAGAAGGCAGCCCACCTCAGGGTGGGCGTTCTTTGCCCAAGATTGTTCAGCGTTCTGAAGGAAACCGAGTGCAGGTTAGACACCACAACTTCTTCTTGGCTGTCAGACCATAGAGGGCAGGCGGTCGGCTGCACAACGGAATCCCAGGTTGGACGCAGAGCTGTCCGGTGTGTTCTGGCTTCGAGCAGCACAGCGATACCTATAGCAGTAGGACTGTGCGAGAGAAAGCATGAAGCGAATGATTGAGTGAGGGATCCCTGAGCGCGGTACCACAGTGCCAGCTGTGGAGAAGTTGGGGCTACCCAAAGCTGGCACTTCCCCACAATCCTTCCTTGTGGACACTTCCCATGTCCGCTTTCCAAAAAGCAGGACTTCCAAGAGTTAACCACATCCTGTCCTATGTCTTCTCCATTGCAAACATCAGACACTCACAGTACAAAGAACTGGATAACGGCCCAAGCTATGTGAGTTAACTGCACAACCATAGGACAAAATAGTTGGAGGCCAACGAAATCATGTTTGAAAACACAGGAGAGTCTCATAAGAAAGTGTTTAAGTGCAAAAACCACCTCCCTGGAGACCAGAGAGGTGGCTCATGCCTGTAATCCCAGCTACTCAGGAAGCTGAGCTGGAGAGGGCTGCAGTTCAAGGTCGACCGAGCAAAAATTACTAGCAGGCTCACATCTCAACAAACACAAGATAAATAACAACCAAGCCAATATTAAGAACATCAAAATATCAAGTAAAGCTGGGCGCCGGTGGCTCATGCCTGTGATCCTAGCTACTCAGGAGAGGCTGAGATCTGAGGATCACAGTTCAAAGCCAGCCCGGGCAGGAAAGTTCATGAGACTCTTATCTCCAATAAACCGCTCAAAAACTGGAAGTGGCGCTGTGGCTCAAGCGGCAGAGCGCTCGCCTTGAGCTGAAGAGCACAGGGACAGCACCCAAGCCCCAGGACTGACAAAAAAAAAATCAAGTAATATTCAGTAAATTGTCTAAAATTAAGCAGCAAGCATCGGAGCATCAAGTGTAAGAAAGGCTATTGGAAAACATGGCTTTAAAAAATATTTTAGGAGCTTAGGTCACAGTAAATCATAAAGCTATGCATTTTTTGTTTGCTTTGTTTTTATTCGGCACAGATTTGTGAATGAGAGGGGAACAAGTATAAGAACCTACACAGAAACACAGCCATTGAGCACCTAGTACCCAGTAGGCACAGTGCTACAAGCTTCATCCTGTGACTTCATAACCACCCAGAGACTCGAAACACGTTAGCCAAAATGACACAGCTGTTATAGGACACAGGGTCTAATGGTGGTCTTCACTATGGAGTGACTGCTTCCCTACCAAGACTCTCTACTCCAAGAGAGACAGATACCACATCTCCTACCTTCTTCCCCCAACTCCCGCAGCACACACACTCACAAACAGGATAGCCTAACATACACGTAGCCACACAGTATATATTCAGTGGAAAACCATGGTTTACTTGCTACCAGACCTTCAAAAGCTTCCAGACTCCAAAAATAACCATGCATGGAACTCTTGCTAGGTTCGTTCTCTGATCCAAAATAACAGAATGAAAATAAACTCGCCATCCTGTGTGCCATGAGCATAAACTCTTGAGTTGGCCCAGTGAGACTTCAGCCACTGCCAGCTGGTTAAAGCAGCAGCAAAAAGAATTGTGTGGAAGAACTTTGGAACTTACACAAAAGAGACAATTTGGGGGGAGGGAGGCAGTTTTTACGGAAGTAAAACGTGTCTCAAAAAATCTTCATAACACTTATCTCTGAAGTTGGTATGGGAATTTCTGGAGCTTTTCCACCATAAAAAGGAAGACATAATGCTTTGTCTTCTGTAGAAAATAAAACAAAAGAACTGATTTTCTCATTGTCTTTGAGGACAATGAAGGCTATGACCAGTCTCAGGTACACAGAGGGAAGATGAAGAGAAGGCAATGAGCTTGGAATAATGGAAATGTTATCGGCATCTGCCGCACATGGGATCTGCAGGCACTGGAGGCTCCGGGAGATCTAGAGTTAACCCATGGGAAGACAGACCAGAAGCTTTGACCTGTACCTCTACTCACCGGGCAGCTAGGAAACAGCACTAAGAATAACCCAGAGTCCCACGGAACTGAGCATTTACAGTGAGTTCCACAGGACCACAAGGACCAAGCTCAGAGTAAAAAGTGGACAACCTTGACATTCTTGACAGCTGATGAAAACCATTATGCATGCCCTGACTGTCTACTACATGAACCCAGAGAGCAGATCCACATGTAGGCACAGGCCTGTCTAGGAGACCAAGGCTGGTTGAGGAAAGAAGGACTATCCAGCCAACAGCTTAAAGCATGCCAGGGTTAAAGGATTCCACGGTTACTAGAAACTCGGAGGGAGCCATCCCTTGTACATCACCCAGGTCTTCAGGAAGAACATCCGTGTGGGAGGCAGCCCTTGACCCAGGCAGGTTGTTAGTGGTGATGGCAAGGTTCTCAGCCCTCAGCACCCCCTGAGCCAGTAGGCAGGAAAGCTTGTGTGAACACATATTCCTAGGCTGCACACCCAGAGATTCGGACTCCACAGGTCTGGCGTACCTCCAAGAATCTGCATTTCTAACAAGCTTCTAAGTGCTGCGGCTACCCCGGCCCTGGGACACACTGGTTTATAGGATTTAGGAAGGAGGAAAGAAGGCAGATTAAGTGCTGAGAACAATGACATCAGAATCTGGAAATGGAAAAATTTCAGGCAAGTTAAGAAGAGAAGACAGCAAGACTGTAGCCTGATCACATCACAGCATGGTTTGTTTATTCATTAAATATATGACAACTTATAATACGCCAGATACTATTTTAGGCTTGAGGACTATAATCAGAGTAAGACAAACAGGATACCTGTTATCAGGGAGCTGACATTCAACAGGGAGCAGTCAGATAATAAACAGAATCATAAAGTCAAGGTTATTTCCAACAGCATCCATCTCCGAGCCAGGCAACCTCCAGAGAGCACTGAGGAGGGTGCCCTGGAAGGGGATTGAGGAGGAGGCAACATGAAAGCTGAGATGCCCAAAAAGGTAAAGAGCAGGAATTCCAGGCAAAAGCCTCGAGTAGACCAAAGATGGCCAAATGAAGAGAAGATGGAAACATGGGCAGGTAAATGGGATGGAGTGACATCATAATCCTCTCCACAGACAGAGGATTTTGCGCTTGGCACAAATACAACATAGTGGAGCCAACAACATTTTGCTAATTTATTCACCACTGAGGCTTACTTAGTGGTTTAAGCTTAGGAGGGCCTGAATCTGTTCCCTCCTCAGTAACACAGACTTGTATTAAAACACATCCCCTTGATCTTTACATAAAGAATAAGTAAATAAAGTACCAAATGCGTGAAAGTCATTGTAACTGTTACATTTACTGAACATCACAGAAAATCATTTTACCTGTCTCAGCTGACCTCTAGACTAACTTGCTTCCTCACTAACACAAGAGAAGCATTAGCTAGCTTTTTTTTTTGGGGGGGGGGTCCGGTCGTGGGACCTGAACTCTGGGCCTGGGTGCTGTCCCGCAGATCTTCAGCCCAAGGCTAGCACTCTACCACTTGAGCCACAGCGCCACTTCCAGCTTTTTTTCTTTTTGCTTATATGGTGCTGAGGAATTGAACCCAGGGCCTCAGGCATGCAAGGCAAGCGCTCTACCACTGAGCCACCTTCCCAGCCCCTTAGCTAGCTTTTATGAAGGCATTAGGGATCTTGTGTGTGACTATGGGAGGAGGGTGCTACTCTGCTAGCATCTGCATGTTACATAAACCAACACACCTTGTGTCTGTGGACCGTGGGGATGTTTTATTGCTGTGTGAATGGGAAAGCTGAGGGCTATCTCTGGTGACAGGATATGTGATGCTGGTTTTTGTTGAGTAGCTGATGTCTACAGCTACAAAGTAAGTCTGATGAATTGTTGCAAGCTGCCCAGAGCACTGTGTTGAAAGGCTTCAGTAGCCATGACCCAGCAAAGCAGAAAAAATGGCCTCAACATATAAGATGTTGCCGATTTTGAATCCCTTTGAAAGACTGCAAAACAATTGCATCTTTGAATTATAAACATACATAACAATTTTGGTAGAATACCACAAATCATTTTCTATAGAAAGAAACATGAATGATTTTATTTTATTATTTTCATTTTTATTCAATGAAAATGAGTTTCATAGTCAATAAAAATGTTTTGTTTGTATAACAAAGGCTAAATATTACACAATTAAAAAGCCATCATTAACATTAATCAATTCACCAAAATGACCATGAAAAACTAAATCCAAAGAAGCAAGTTTCACAACCTTAAGTTTCACAACCTTTATTATAGTGCTGCAGGCTGGGGTGTAGATTAGTAATAGAAGGCTCATTTAGCATGCACAAGGTTATGAGTTCAATCCCAGTACTGAAAACAATGAAAGAAAACAGTCTTGCGTGCTGAGTCAGCCATCATTCTATTTCAAGTATTCTCGTTCAGCTAGTAAATAGTTATTAATAAATTGTTCATTTTAAGTTTCAATAATGGGCAATTAATAGGGGACCCACAATTGAAGAGTAAATGTTCTGATTATGAATGTACTCATTTCACTTTATTTTTTTCTAATTCTACTTTTAGCACCAAAAGTGGTTCTTAAGGATCAGAGGTCTTTGGGTGTGTGAAAAAATGGGTCAGTGTATTAATTAAGAACAGGAGTCCGAGAAGAACCTGTTGTAGCCCTATTTCATTAACATGGCTAATTACTGTGTAAAATCTGTCTGTCTGTGCTGGGATCTTGAAGCAGCAACAACCCATTTACCATAATGACTCACCAGCCTTGGGGGCTCTGAAGTCTAGGGGGACAGTAACATGGATTTTGTGATAGGAAAACTTTCAGGATTAGAAGGTATTTTTATGATCACCTAGCTCATATTGAATAAAACAATTATAGGGAAGCACACAGCAGTACCCAGGTCTCATGATTTCCCCACTTGTTGATCTTTGAGTCTAGCCCACTTCACAGCCTAAGCGCTGTGGATTTGCCGAAGATCTCACAGGCACTATTCTAATGCTATCAACAACCAAAACTAGTACTTCACTATTTGAACTGTTTTAAGAAATTTACATGGGCTAATTCAATCCAAACGATCCTCCCAGTAGTCTTATGAGGAAGGTATTATTAGGACTTGCATTATACATATATAAGGAGAAACTGAGGCCCAGAGATGTTAACAGTGTGCCCTGGGACACAGTAGATCTAGCACTCTGGATCATTTCATCCCAGAGCCTGTGCCCTTGGTGCTGTGCTGCCCTACATCGGTGCCCCAGTTCAAAGCCAGCCTGGGCAGGAAAGTCTGTGAGACTCTTATCTCCAATTAACCACCAGGAAACCAAAAGTAGAGTTGTGGCTCAAAGTGATAGAGCACTAGTCTAGTCTTGAGCAAAAGAGCTCAGGGATGGGCTGGGAAGGTGGCTCAGTGGTAGAATGCTTGCCTTGCATGCATGAGGCTCTGGGTTCGATTCCTCAGCACCATATAAGCAGAAAAAGCTGGAAGTGGCAATGTAGCTCAAGTGGTAGAGCACTACTAGCCTTGAGCTGAAGAGCTGAGGGACAGTGGCCAGGCCCAGAGTTCAGGCCCCATGACCGGACCCCCTCCCAAAAAAAAGAGCTCAGGGACAGCATCCAGACCCTGAGTTCAAGCCCCACAACTGACAAAAAGAAAAAAGAAAGAAATGTACTTATTACCTGATTTATGAAATGCTAATCCCTCTGTATATCACTTTTATAAATGTACATATATATATAATAAAATATAAAAATAAAAACACATAACTCAAAGTAAAAGTGAAGGGACAATGGTTTTTCCGAATTCCTTATAAAGGTTATCATGAAACCCCACATCACTCAGAAGAACCAGAACCAAGAGCTGCCAGCTTGGACATCGAAACCAAGCCCTAGGAATTAACACTCTGGGGCCCTCACAAACCACTCCTCCACCTGCAACTCTCACTTGAATCTCTACAGAGAACCCAGAAACATATACAAAGCTCCAACAAACTAAGGGAATGTTTCCAGACTTACATGCAGGCATCAGTACAGAGCTCACTGGGGTCACAGGACAACAAAGTCATCTCAAAGAAGCAATGTCCAACAGATGGGAATTGTTGACAATGGGTCATTTCACCACCATTTCCTCCCATCAGATTCCCTCATGCCTGTTACCAAATTTAAGATGACCTCTCTATTTTTGCTGACTTTACTTACCTTGTGGCACATATACGATCCACCTTTCTTCACACGGTCTTTCCCAGATGGAGGCCCCTTCTAGGGATGAAGAAAAAACAATCTGTTGGTCTAGACAAAATGGATGCCCCTAACACAGTGGGAGAGCATCTGCTTCAGTTCAACCAACCAGCTGTCTCATGGTTACCTAAACTCTGCCCATGCATTTCTGCCCCTCCCAAAGGCCCAGGTCCCCAAATGCCTTCTCCTCATTCTCTATGACCCACCACAAGACCCCACAGTTAGGACACATCGTCCTGACAACCACCAGCAGTTCCTCCTCTAAGCTCTCCAGCATGTCTTGCTTAAATGACTAAGATACCACTTGGCATGGGCTTTAACTCTGTGGTACTCATGCCAATGTATCCTGCCAACTGAAGGATGAGCTTCTGTAAATTATATATACTTAGGATTCCATGGTGCAACACCTAATAAACCCTGCTGGCTACATGAATTTTCTTTTTCTCTCTTTAAAAAGTTTGGGGTTGGGTTTCCTGAGGTATTAATATAAAGAAGATTCTACCCTTTTACAAACATGGTTCCTATGAGTTTTGACCCCTATATGTAGTCACGGGACTGTCAGTGTAAGTCAGATACAGAACATAGATTTTCTTCTTTAAAAACATTATACAGTATCTACTAGAAACCAGACAGGATTCTGGGACTTTGAAAAAAAAAATCTAGAATCTGACACACATTGCACCCAATCTTCCAGGTGAGTTTATTATTGTGTAAAAGTATGTATGTCATTCACCAGGAGCTCACTGCAGCAGAATGGAAGCACTGATGACTGTGTATCAGTCCATACGATGGTCACATCTTACACCACATTTCCTGCTGCATTGAGCCGCCTCTCAAGGCTCCCTGCACGCTGTATTTCTGTGTGCCCACTAACAGTTCCGTTCTGATTCTAATCTATGGTATCTATCATCATGCAATATTACATTCTTATAAGATGAGAAGACGCTGGTTTACAAATGGGAAGGCAATCACCTACGGCTGCAATTGATTAATATGGCAGTCCTCGGACTGTCAGGGAGACAAAAGCAGTAAGGACAGTCATCCCACATTGACATAGAAGTGGTTAACGCAGTGCTTAATCTAGGTGACTGCTCAGCTGGTTGTTACAAATAACAGGAAGATAACGCAATGGGGGATTTGCTACAACTGTTTTAAATGCTTACCTCCTGGCCAGAGAGCCAAAAAATAAAGAGGGAAGATGCAAGAGGTTGAACAGTGACCCTAAAATTCATATTCACACAGTGAGCCTGGAAAGGTTACCATGTTATCTCTTTATTTATCGAAGACTCTATTAATCTTTCTGAAGAACCAGCAGTTTATTGATTTCTTTTCCTATTTTTTTCTGTTTAGTGTTTCACTGCTTTTTGCTCTTTACTATTTCCTTCCATTTCCTGTGCTTTTGTTATTCTCTCACTGAGTCCATGAGTTAAAAACCATGATGACTTAAGAATGTTCCTCCTTTTCTGTTTCCCTTTCTTTGTGGGGAACAGAACAGTACTGGCTGATTAGGTAATCCCTCTCACCCCTACAAAATGGAGATAAGAAAGGACCTGCTTCACTGGACTGAGGTGGGGGTTACATGAAATGACGCACTAAAAACATGTGGCAACTCATAAATGCTGAAAGTCAGGCTGCTGTTACTGTAATGCATGCAGCGTTCATAAGTAATTCAGATTTCCTGAAGGTGCCCATAAACTTACTAAACCTGCAGGCATATAGCTTCAAATTCTAAAACCACAGAGACCATTCTGACCTAGTTTTCTAATGCCAAACTCCCAAATGAAGTCTCGATTGTAAGAAAATACTTGGCATGTTAATAACCCTCACAGAGCAGACACACAAGTTAATATAGCTAGCACCCCAGGGCAGACACGTAGCAACCTACCACAGCCCCAGACTTGGCTGAGCATCAATGTTTTTAACAACAGATCCAACACAAAAGCATGTGGGCCATACATATGGCAGAGGAAGTCCATCTCCTGGTTAAAGACTGCAAATATCATTTGTCTTTGCATTTGCATTCCCTCCCCATGCCTCGTCTACATTATATCACAAACTCCTGAGAGGAAAACCAAAGTTTCCATTTGACAAGTACAGCTCTCCTTTATTTAAAATACTTCTAAGGAAGCCAGGCGCTGGTGGCTCACGCCTGTAATCCTAGCTACTCAGGAGGCTGAGATCTGAGGATCGCGGTTCAAAGCCAGCCCGGGCAGGAGAGACCGTGAGACTCCTATCTCCAATAACCACCAGAAAAATCGGAAGTGGCGCTATAGCTCAAGTGGTAGAGCGTTCGCCTTGAGCTGAAGAGCTGAGGGACAGCGCCCAGGCCCAGAGTTCAAGCCCCATGGCTGACCAAAAAAAAAATACTTCTAAGGAAACTTAGCAGTCCAGCTGGGGATGTAGCTCAGTGGTAGAGTGTCTGCCTAACACGAGCAAGGCCCCAGGTTTGATCACTAGCGCAACACACACACACACAGTTCACACACACAGTTTAAACACAGAGGAACTTGGTGCTCCACTCCATAACCCTGTGAAGTGTGCCGGCTCCTTTGAGAGCTAAGTTGGCCTCACCCTGTTTGGCTAAAAGCTGGGCTCCCTGGCACACTTGAGTTCAAGGCAAGCCTTCCAACTGGCAGTTTCACCAGCTGCTCTGGGGCAGGGTTCCAGCAGCCTGAAGTTTAGGACAACACAGCAATCATCCTGCTGCCTAACTAAAGGACTTCTTCCAACTAAATCAGCAGCCCTGTTAAATCTCTAGCCATTGACAGCCCAGTCACACATCAAAAGGAGCAGCAACTTTTTTTTTTTTTTGAGACTCATGATCCTCTTCTCTCACCCTCTCAACCTGCCCAGTGCTGAGATTATCAGTGTACATCCAGGCCCAGCTCCATCTCCTCCATTTTTAAGGAAATTTAATCTATTTTTAAGTTCCTAGAATTTAAAATGATGGTGCCTCAATTACCCTCCCTGGCACCTATGGAAACCATCTCATTGTTCATCACAATGACCCTGGACAGCAGGAAGTATGGTTATACCCATTTTCAAGCAAATAATACTGAAGCTCAGGGTCATGCAGCCACCAAGTAGACTGCCACACCATGCCCCTTTAGGCTTACTCTACGGGGATGAACTATGTCCTAGGCTCTGCAATACCTCTACCCAACGTGCACAGACCAAAAGAGGAAGTAACATGTCCCAAGAATTCATTTTTACTGGAGGGCAGGATGCTGGGACTTGCACTCAGGGATTGAACTTGCTAGACAGGACTTCTACTTCTTGAGTCATGTCCTCAGCCCCTTTGCTCTAGTTTTTTGAGTTTTGTTTTTTGTGTGTGTGTTCTTCCTTTTCCTCTTGGTCCTGAGTCTTGAACGCAGGACCTGGCACTGTCCCTGAGCCTTTGTGTTCAAGGCTAGCACTCTGCCATTTGAGCTATAGCATCACTTCCAGCTTTTGAGTAGTTTACTGGGGATAAGAGTCTCACTGACTTTTCCTGCCTGGACTGATTTCAAACCGAGATCCTCAGATCTCAGCCTCCTGAGTAGCCTAGGATTATAGGCATGAGCCTATAATTTATGCTCAGGCTGGCATGTATTACTATCCTATTTAAGAGTCCCATATAACTGGGAGAGCAGACACACATCATACCCAGCTTTTTTACTGGTTGAGGTGTTAGGTCTCACTAACTTTTTGTCCAGGCTAGCCTCAAACTACAAAATCCAGTTCTAGCATGGTTTCCAGTATGGGAACTTGAACTCAGAGCCTCCCACTCTTGCTTAGCTTTTTCACTCATGGCTATCTCAGAACCTCAATCCTCAGATCTCAGAGTTGCTAGGATTATAGCCAGTCCACTTTTTCACCTAATATCAAATAATAAAGGACTTGAAAAGTCAACAGATTAAATGCATTACATCAAACAAAGCTTTTCTTAATTACGTGGAATTTTATTTATCGTCTAGGATGAGAACCTAGAAGGAAAGATAATTGACTTTAGTTATTGCACAGTAAGATGAAAGAAAGGAAGGCCAAGGTCATAAAAGAGGGATCAAACTGGAAAAATAGCACATTAAACATAGAGACTAAATTAAAAACCCCACAGTATTTTTTCTGTAAAACCAACACACTCTGCACTGGTGATTACCCTGGGAAAGGAATGGAAATAGTCATTTCCTCCATGCTACTGTTCCACCCACACTAGGAAGAGAATTTTCAAAGCTGCACTAAACTTGCTTACACAGCATGATGCTCCATTCTTTATAAAAAAAAAAATGACAATCTTTTCATCACCTGAGGTCCATGGCAACAATCCAGCTTCTAGAATAATGCATAAAACTTGACATTTAAAATACTGATTCTAACTGTAGAACAAACAGCATATACATATATGAGCGTGGCTAAGATTTACATACTATGTCTGGGTGTTTTTTTATCCTATTATTATTATTATTAAGGCAACCATGAGAGCTATTGTTCAAATAATGGGAGGTTTACGCATGAAAAAGGGACTGTGAGCAACTACTCCAGGCGCAGGCACATACAGAATTTGTGGCCATCCAGCCATGTACCTCATTTACAAATGGAGAACTATGGAAGGGAAAGGTTGAGCGGCCTCCTGAGGCTATGTAGCTAGCAGGTGTGGCCAGGGTTCAGGCCCAGGCAGGCTGGCTCCAGACTATCCTGAGCACTCAGCACATCCACCTGGGGGCGGCACTACACACACAGTCTCATACTTTTGAAATAAGTTCTTCAACTGGTTTAAATGGAGGTGCATGACACCTTTCAGTATGTCAAGAAAATAGCTCAACCCAAGAGAAACATGAGTTAAGAGTTCATAATTGTTTCTTAAAAAAAGACATTCACTAGCTTTTTAGGATGTGGTGTATGTCTATGCAGGTGTGCACACCTTGGTGCTGAGATGTGAACTTGGCCCCTAGAGACCCTGCCTTAGCTATTTTGCTCAAGGCTAGCATTTTACCACTTGAGCCACACCTTCACATGTGGGTTTTTGCTGGCTAAAAGAGTCT